ATAAAATGTCTTTGTCTCTAGTAACAATTTTGTCTTAAAGTCTATTTTGTCTGATATTAGTATAGCCGCTCCAGCTCTCTTCTGGTCACTGTTTGCATGGTATACTTTTTTCTGTCCTTTTACTTTCTACCTATTTGTTTCTTTTTTTTTTTGGTGAGGAAAATTAGCCCTGAGCTATCATCTGCCAATCCTCCTCTTTTTGCTCAGGAAGATTGGCCCTGAGCTAACATCCGTGCCCATCATCCTCCACTTTATATGGGACACCGCCACAGCATGGCCTGACAAGCGATGTGTCAGTGCGCGCCCGGGATCTGAACCCAGGCCGCCAGCAGTGGGGCACGCGCACTTAACTGCTATGCCACGGGGCCGGCCCTCTACCTATTTGTTTCTTTGAATCTAACATACGTCTCTTGTAGGCAGCATGTAGTTAGATCATCTCTGAGTTGGTTGGGTTTTGTTTTTGGTTTTTTTTGGCTTTTAATTTCATGTTTAGTATCAGTGCTTCAATATAGAATATTTTGCAATGATTACTGACATCTGGATACCAACAGTTTTTTCAAATACCAAGTGCCAATATTTTCTGGTAAATATTGATTTTCCCAAAACAAAATAACCACACGTAACACAATTTCAGGAGATGGTCATACCATCAGCATAATTCACCCAAATTACAAAAGGGCTATGCTTTAAAATCATGCACATCATTTCATCATTTTCGTAAAACTTCTTTTTAAAGTCTACAAAATTGCCAGTATAAAAAGATTCCTCAAAAACTTTGTGATAACATAAACTACAAAATTTACTTTGAAAAAATAGGGAGGTATCATTCAAATTTTGGCTTTCAGAGTTTTTTTTTAATCTGTTAAAAAATATGGTGAGGAGTGTGTTGAGAGAGGTGGAGAGAAAGGAGCTTCCAGTTGATGGAGTCAACATGTCTGAAAATACTTCAGCAATAGAAAGGAAAAACTTCAAGAGCTAGAATACATTGTAAAAGTCTTTCAGAAAGATGAACAGACGAGCAGTTCTTGCACCAATTGCACCCACAGGAGAGAGGTCTTCTTGAAGAATGCTTGTTTGTTTTTGTTTTTTTTTTGTGAGGAAGATCAGCCCTGAGCTAAGGTCTGATGCCAATCCTCCTCTTTTTGCTGAGGAAGACTGGCCCTGAGCTAACATCATCGTGCCCATCTTCCTCCACTTTACATGGGATGCCGCTACAGCATGGCTTGCCAAGCAGTGCGTCGATGTGCACCCGGGATCCGAACCAGTGAACCCTGGGCTGCCACAGTGGACCACGTGCACTTAACCGCTTGCACCACCAGGCTGGCCCCAAAGAATGCTTGTTTATAGAATCTTCTCTAAGATAGAGTTGGCTGCCTCCAATGATTCATCTTTTACTGAAACAATATCATAAGAGCCCATGTACTTTTCTAAAAACTCATCCACTCTATCATTTAGATATCCAGTTTCTAGAATGTGTTCAACATTTGCTACTGCATCTGCCATTCTTAAGTCTTGGGAGTCTCCTGGCAGAATTTTGTTGTTATTGTCTTTTCATTGATTGAAATATTCTATGTTCTTCAAGGCACCATCATGTTTGTTAAATTCATGAATTAGTTCTCCTTTAAATCCTTTGAGGAACCCATTTTCATCAAAATCCATGAAGTTGGACACTGCTTTGACATTTGGATGATAAGCACCACCTTGACAGATAACCCCCTCTACGATATCACTGATACTCACTGAAAATATGAACACAGGAGACTGTGTTGTTGGAGCTTATCAAAGACATTCTCATATCCTTCCTTGAGCATAACATCAGATTCTGCTACAATTTCTTTAAGTTTAGCTCTTGGTAAACAGGCTTTAGCCTGTTCAACAAGCAAGCCACAGATTTAGTACATGATTCTACCATATTAGGGTACTTCTCTCCTATGGTAAGAACAGGATCAATTTCAATAGCAAACTATTTTTCCTTTAGTTTCAGTAACTTTTTTCAATATTCACCTATAACCAGCTTACAGTTGTCAATAATATGGCATTTGGGGCATCTTTTCCCTTTGTAGGATAAGCTACTTAGTGTCATATCAAAGTCTGTTATTATCTGAAGTGTGGCAGCTCCTCCTTTGATAAGACCAAAGATAATTTCTTCTACTTTTGTAGAGTTCTTGATGCGAACTGAACTTTTCTAGAAGTCTGGCCTCATTTTCACATGTACAGCAGACACTTGATTAGTCATTTCTTGGTTATCCAGTCTTCTTAAGGTGCTCTGAGTTCTTCTGTTCTTGCATTTGTCCTAGAACAACAGCATAGGTGGTAAGCAAGATCCAGAGATGATGATTTGATCTTCTCCCATCTTCCTCTTCAAGATGAATCTGTACTGGGCCAGCACCACCTCTGCCGCCAGGACACACACTGGCGCTCGCTACCGCACCTCCTTGGCCGTGGCCACCTAGTCCCCAGCCGGGGCCTCATGCACCTCCAGACCCAAAAAGAAAAGGCTGCTCACGGCGACTGGGGCCTCCTGGATTGTGTTTTTATATAATTCTGCCAATCTCTGTCTTCTGATTGAAGTGTTTAATTACTGATAAAGTAGGGTTTACATCTTCCATTTTGCTATTTGTTTTCTATATGTCTTATGTCTTTTCTCTTCTTCCATTCCTCTATTATTGTCTTTCCTATTAAATTAATGTATTCTAGGGTACCATTTTAAATCCTTTGTTGTTTCTTCCACTGTATATTTTTTTGAGTTATTTTCTCAGTGGGACCATAGCTGTGTTCAGTGTAGAGCTGATTATTCTCCACTTCTGAGGCAACACCTTTCTGAGTATTCTGCACCCTTAATTATGAGTTCTTTTCCCAAACTGGCTGGTAGAAACAGGCACTGTTCCCAACTCCATGAGAGTCTGGGTACTATTCCCTCCAGCCTTTCAGATGGTTCTTCTCCCAACCTTGGGTAGTTTTTTCACATGTATGTGCTGTGCTGATGACCCGAGGGGGACCCTCTGCAGATATCTTGAGTCATCTCTATGTGCATCTCCTTTCTTTCTGATAGTCTGTCCTGTGAGCTCTTGTTGCCTCAGTTTCCCTGAATGCTCAGCTCTGTCTTCTCAACTCAGGGAGTCTGCTGGGCCCACTTCAGTCCCCCTCCCCACACTGCAGCCTGGAAACTCTGTCGAAGCAGTAAGCTGAGGCACCAGCAGGGCTCCCATGGCTTGCCTCTCCATCTTTCAGGGATTGCTAGCCTTCGTTAGCTGATATCCAGTGTCTAGAAAACCACTGTTGCATAGTTATTGTTGCTATTGGTTTTTGGTTGTCATGCACAGGAGGGTAAATCTAGGCTCTGTTACTCCATTTGGGCTGGAAATGGAAGTAGTCATCGTTCTTGTTTAACAGATTCTTAGTATTCTACTGGCTGGGTGTGCCACAAATATATGAGTCCCCTATTGATAATCTAGTTTATAAACAATGCTGCAGCCTCTGTCTTTGTACATATACCTTGGCATCCTTTGCGAGAGTCCATAGAGAAAATTCCTATCTATGGAATTTCTGGGTCTAGGTTTTGTGCACTTACACTTTAAATGTGTGGTTTACTTGCCCTACAGTGTAAACTTTTATCATCAGCAATGGGCCAATGGTGGGGCAGAGTTTAGATTTTAAACTGAATAAATACTCATGTCCTTTGTAGACGCAGCGAGAGTTAGAGTAGGTCACTTGTATGTTCCCCTGTCTTTTATGAGGGAAATTATATATTATGATATCATTTGAAAATGTGCAGATTCTCAAAAATCTGGAGACCTAGCCTTCAAGAATGTCAAAGTCTGTCTTGTGTTGAGCTTTTGGGTTCTAGAGGTTATCTTTCTCCAAAGGCCCTAAATTATCCTAGTCAGATATCTCAGATTTCTTGCGCTGCAAGTCTTACACTGAATATTTCTTACTTGTAGTTACTGATTTCTTTCTTCCTCTTCAACCAGGGTGCAGAGTCAGTAACGGGACTTTCTAAGCGCAAAGGGCAGACTCCCTTAACATCGAGCAGTATGATTCCAATTGGAGCCTCCACCAAGCATCCAAGTGCTGACCAGCCTCTGGAATCTGCCAGTGGTTTGGGCCCAAAGCAGACTTTATCAGGAACCAGTGGCACAGGACACCCCTCTGAAGGGGTGATTAGCAGAGAACGAAGCAGAGGTGCCTCTGCTACTGGGTTTCCTGGTAGAGAACAGCACCCAAGGGCCCGTGATGAAGCCGGCCTGGCAAAAGCCCATCGCCCCTCTGTGTCCCAATTCAGAGTCGAGTCAGATCGTCATAGGGCTAGAGAGCGGCAGAGCTTAGCACATCTAAGAAGAGATGAACAAGATGCACACCCTGGCCCAGTTCGACCAGACTTACCCTCGGCCACCTCTGCCAGAGATTGGCATCATCATGTGTACCCAGATCAGCATGGGGGAGTGTACGTTAGCCAGGGTCAAGTCTATCCAAGTCCAGATCAGCATGGATTAGGACTACCTGGCATGGATCAGCTTGCATTGCTGCATCCTAGCACTTATCATCCACATGGCGTAATACCGCTCAGCATGGGTCAGCTTGGTGTGATGCCACCTGGAATGGATAAGCAGGAATTGGTGCTACCTGGCATGGATCAGCAAGGGTTTGAACCACCCAGGATAGATCAGCCTGGTATGGTTCCACTCAGCACATATCAGCATGGTGTGATACTTCCTGGCACAGACCAACGTGGTATGGAACAGCCTGGCATGGATGAGAGTGTAATGGGACCACTTGGCATGGATCAGCACGGATTGGTACCTCTTGGCATGGATCAGCAAGGATTGGTACTGCCTGGCATGGATCAGCATGGATTGGTACCTCTTGGCATAGATCAACATGGATTGGTTCCACCTCTTACAGATCAGCATGGTTTGCTAACACCTGGTTTGATGCAAGTTGCTGCAGATCAGCAAGGTTTTGTACAGCCCAGTTTGGAAACATCTGGCTTCATACAACCTGGCACAGAGCAGCATAATGTGATCCAGCCTGGCGCAGGTCAGCCTGCTTTGGTCCAGCCTGGCGCAGGTCAGCCTGCTTTGGTCCAGCCTGGCGCAGGTCAGCCTGCTTTCGTCCGGCCTGGTGCAGGTCAGCCTGGTTTGGTCCGGCCTGGCGCAGGTCAGCCTGGTTTGGTCCGGCCTGGCGCAGGTCAGCCTGGTTTAGTCGGGCCTGGCGCAGGTCAGCCTGGTTTGGTCGGGCCTGGTGCAGGTCAGCCTGGTTTGGTCGGGCCTGGAGCAGGTCAGCCTGGTTTGGT